AGGAGACTCTGGGGAGGCCACTGCCACGGGGCAGCACAGCTGCCATGACCATGAGCTTTGTCCCAGACAAACTTTCTCAGCAGACAAACCGCAAAGGCCCTGATGCACGTGCCCCATGTCTCAGTGAGGGAAGGCCAGGCCGCTCAGGCCAGGCCAGGCCAGGCCAGGCCAGGCCAGCCAGGCCAGCCAGGCCATGCTGGGGAGCAGCGGCGCGGCAGGGCCGGGACCAGGGCCGGACCCACGGGGTCTGCGCGGTGCTGCCATGCACAATTAACTTCCACCAGTTAACGAGCTCCTGCTGCACAATAATCTTTGTGAGTTTTTCACAGCTTTCTTTTATCTGTCAGAAGAATGCAGGGGGGCCACCATACTGGCTGCTGAGGAGGAATGCCTTTGGGTAACTCAAAACCCCCAGCCAGTCTGGTTGTATTTTCCAAACCAATTTCTGTTCCTGTAGAGGGTTTAATTCCTTTAAGAAAAGTATTGGAAGTGAAAGCAGCTGGGGAGACAGCACAGACTCCTCCATTCCAGCCCTCTTCCAAAGCCCCAGCAGCTCCTGTGGCACCCATTGCATTGAAGGGTAGTTTTCCCAGGAGAACAGGCAGGAGGGACACGGATGTGACCCTGCAGCCCAGCCCAGCAGCCCAGGGCAGCAGCCTGCTAGCACCCAGCCTGCCCTCCTGCCCGGCTGCTGTCCCTCTGTCTCCCGCTGTTCCCAAAGGCCAGAGCAGCATCCTCTAGCTTGGCTCTTTTTCTACTATGGCTGGAGGAACAGGGAATGGGAAGAGAACCGTATTTGGAAGAAGACAGTATAAAAGACTAAAATAATCACCCTGCTTTTTACTTTAGGTGAGTGCATTATGTCTTGGACTGGCTTGTACGACAGATTTTGCCAGCAGACCAAAACCAGGCCAAACTGCATGGTGTACAGGAAAAAATGAGCACTATCACAGGCTTTTCTTACACATGAAACCTGCATAGGAAAGGATACGGTGTAGATCTTTTGATGTATACACCCAGGTCAATACCAATCTAATTAATTCCGTACAATTCACATTTTTCTTCCATCCAACGTGCACAGTTTCTTGTAAGTCCTCCCTTTTAATGCCGGCCAGGAGTGTATTCCGTTCTGCGATGCCCATCGCTGTGCGTTTTTAAATCTCCCAACATTGTTTTTTCCTGCCATCTTGTGGCAGTAGGAAAAATCACAGCGTTTCACTAGCCGCTGCCCGCCGGCCTAAATCAGGGGCTGTCAGTAAAGTAGTCTAATCTACAATTAGATTCGTTGGCATCACTGCAAAAAAATACAGCCCCTATTGCATATTTAAAATAAATTTTAAATTATTGACTCATTTTTTCAGCTCCACTAGTTGATCTTATAGTGGGGGGTTCTTTGGTTATCCCAGAGCAATTTATCTATAAGGAGCAAAGTAGAGTTGCATAACAGGTGAGACTTAATCATGTTATGACAAGACTTCAACAAGTGAACCCTAAATATTTTGAAAAGGCTCCCTTTTGCCAGTGTTGCTCTCAGGTCTTCATAGCTCCTTAACAAAGCCATCTTTGTTTCCTATCAAACCATAGAAAGATCTTGTCTGATAGGCATGTAAAGCTTTTCCTTTTACTGCAACCACTATTGCTGTCTGGCCTCTCAATGTAAACACCACAAAACCTGTCCAAACATTCTCCATTATTTGCTTAATTCTAAACCAAAACATTTTCATTATTTTGTTAAAAATGCATGTAAGATTTATATAAGACTGAATCTAGGTTCCTGGGTTTTCCCTCCTTTTCCTGCAATTGCACAGAGGATTTTTGAAAATGAATACTTGTGATCCCAACTCTCCTGCCATAATAGCTCTTCCCACATAGCTGAGGTTAAAATATGAAAATTATATATGATAATTTTAAAATATTCAAAAAGAAAAAAAAGCCAGTATTTTCCCTTAAAATCAATGCAAAATTCAGAGTCAGTAAGAAAAACTAGTCACTACTTACTAAGAAAATTTCCAGCCTGCAAAGAGAGTGTAAATTAAAGCTCTTCATAGTTTTGTTTATTTTCACTAGCACCCGC